TTACAAGTAGAATACGTCCAATCAGATTGGAACGCCGGGTATACTACTCTAACATGAGCACATCGACACGCTTCCAAACCAGGTCGCCTACCTGGAGTCTGCGAATTTTTACCTTTTTGTCGTGAGCGGCTCGCATTCTTTGCTTGTACGCCTCCACCCTGATTGCTGCTTTCTCGCGCAGCTCCTCAATAATATCTAAGGCCTCCATCATCAGATCTTCGTTCTGTTCAGCATTATACGTGCTCGACCTCTAGGATGATAACTCGACCTTGACCGGTAGCAACGCTTCCATTCCATAAGCTAAGCTGAACAGGGTTTCTCCTGTCGTCGACCTCGGTGTTGTGCGGTACGCCCACAGTACAGAACTCAGCTCATCGACCCATGCTCCCGAGGCCCTCTCCAACTTTGTTTTCAACCCATTCAGTATAATTCGGTTTGTTACTTCGACCTGGCCATTGGCTTGCGGATGAGCAACGGAGGCAAAGTGCTGCTCGATTTTCATGTCTTCACACCATGCGCGAATCCGCTTACCATTGAATTGGGTGCCGTTGTCGGAGATCAACACTTTGGGTACGCCAAACCGACATCAGATGTTGTAAAGAAATTTAATTACTTTCTCCTCCGTAATCTTCGCTAAAGGCTCGGCTTCCACCCATTTTGTAAAATAATCGACCGCCACTATTAAGAACTTCCTCTGCCCGGTTCCCTGAGGCTTCGGCCCCACCAGGTCGATACCCCACTGGGCGAATGGTGTGAGGGCACTCATCGTTGTCATTGCTTCTGCCGGTTGGTGAATAAGAGGACCATGTTTTTTGGCATTGCAAGCACTTCTTCACCATCGCTTTCGCATCTTCCCTCATCGTTGGCCAAAAATATCCCGCCCTCAAAATCCTTGCGACCAAAGCCCCTGACTTGCTATGGTCACCATAGCATCCTTCGTGCATCTCTCTCAGCACATATCGACCCTCTTCCTTAGTAACACACCGCAAATGTGGTCCCCCATACAACCGTTTGTAAAGAATACCTCCATGCTCAAAAAACCTCCTCACCACCTTTATCGTTCCTTCTTTCAGCTCCTCCAAGATCGGGGCCCTCCAGTCTTCCACTTCTTCGATCTCCGCCACTTCTGCTTCGACCATACTTTTTTCCAGATGCAATAAAGTAACACTCCTGCTCTTACAATCCACCAAGCTCTGAGCGATTTTTGATAGCAGGTCCGCCCGACCATTTTCTCCTCGAGGAATTTGTATCAGATCGAATGAATCGAACTCCTCCTTCAACATTCTCATCTCATCTACATACTTTTGCATCCGATCCTCCTTGACTTCAAACCCCTCCTGAAACTGCCCAACCACCAGTTGAGAATCAGAATGCACTTGTACTTTTCGAGCTCCTCCCGCCTTGGCTAAACTCAAGCCTTTGATTACTGCTTCATACTCGGTCTCATTATTGGATACTTTGAACCCCACTTTGGCTGCAAATTCCAAGTAATCGCCCTTAGGGAAAACAAGGACAATTCCCAATCCTGCCCCGCTTCGCGCCACAGATCCATCCACAAATAACTGCCATAACCCTTCTGACTCCTCCTCAACTTTCGTGCCCTCCTGGATAAAATCGGCCAACACTTGCGCCTTTATGGCCCTCCTCGGCTCGTATAATAAAGAATACTCACTCAACTCGACCGCTCATTTCACCAATCGACCAGAGACCGATGGTCGGCCAAGCGTTTCTCCCAAAGGCATGTTTGTTCGCACTCTCACTTTATGGTTCAAGAAATAAGGTCTCAACTTTCGAGCCGTTACGACCACGGCCAATGCACACTTCTCAATCTCCGAGTATCTCATCTCTGCCCCCTGCATCACCCTACTCACGTAGTAGATGGGAAATTGCGCTACTCCTTCCTCCCGTAACAACACCGAGCTCACCGCCCTCTCTCTTATAGAAATGTATAGCACCAACTCCTCGCCCTGCACGGGTTTAGCCAATAGGGGAAGGTTGGCTAGCACGGGTTTAGCCAACAGGGGAAGGTTGGCTAACACCCCTCGCAACTCCTCGAATGCCCCTTGCACCTCCTTCATCCACTGGAATTTTGCGCTCTTCTTCAATGTTTTAAATAATGGCCCACTCTTCTCCGCCACCTTCGATATGAAACGGCTCAGCCCTGCAATTCGATCAGCTAAGATCTGCACTTCTTTAACATTCACCGGCGGCTTCATCTCCATCACAGCTCGAACCTTTTCATCTCCATCACAGGGTGTAGTTTTCATTATTGTGTCAGAAGCCTTCTCTAACCTAATAGTGCAAGCTAGGGCTAATAGGTTGTATAAAGGTATTAGGATAAGTAGAGAAGCTCATGTTATCTCCCTCCTCTTTTTTGCTGATGATTCCTTTCTTCTCTGTAAAGCTGATGCTGATCATGCTCAAGTTATTTTGAACATTCTTTCTGAATATGGGTCTGCCTCTGGGCAACGTGTGAATTTGAGCAAATCCTCTATCTTTTTTTCTAGAAACTCTGACAATGCCACTATTTTTGAGGTGTGCAACATTCTTCAAGGGGTGCAATATGTTATAATTTCTAAGTACCTTGGTCTCCCTTTGGGGATAGGCAGGTCTAAGAGAGAAATATTTTAGTTTGTAAGTGAGGCAATTAAAAACAGAGTGACAAATTGGAAAAATGTTTATTTGAGTGAGGCAGAGAGAGAGATTCTTCTGAAAACTTTGATTGATGCTCTACCCACATACATAATGTCTTGCTAAAAAATTCCTTTCTCGGTGTGTGATGATATCTGCAAAGAGTCAGCTAACTTTTGGTGGACGAAAAAAGACAATGGGGTGGGAAATAACTGGCACTGGGCTAGATGGGATAGGCTTTCTAAATCCAAAGGGGATGGAGGGTTAGGTTTTAAGGATCTAAGGGCTTTCAATGAGGCCCTCTTAGTGAAGAAGTTGTGGAAGTTATTACAATGCCAAATCTTCTCATAAGCAGGGTCATTAAGGGTAGGTATTTTCCTAGGTCCAATATCTAGGGGGTTAAAAGTAGGGGATGGGATTCTTGGCTTTGGAAAGGGTGGCTTTGGGGCTAGAAAAATCTTTAAGTCTTGGAGTCAGATATAGAATTGGGGATGGGAGGACTGCTAATATTTGGACTTCTCCCTGTGTGACTGAGATCAAAGGGTTCATCCCAGGGTGTAGTTTTCCTTAGGATAGGGATAGATTGAGTATAGTGAGGGACCTTATGGAAGAGGGTGGTCATTCTTGGGGCATGGAGCTGATTTTTCAAACATTTGAGCCTAGTACTGCCAGATCTATTCTGAATATTCCTTTTAATGCTCTAGGAATGAAGGATAAGCTTGTGTGGCATGGGAAAAAGCCTGGGATGTATTCTGTTAAAAAGGGGTATGATCTTATTGTTCAGCAGGGTAGGTTAGGTGATAAAGATTAGGGGTCTAATAGTAATCAGGGTAAAATTGCTAAAATGTGGTATGTTACTTGGAGACTCCCTATTCAAAACAAACTCAATAACTTTTTGTGGAGAAATTGGCATGGTTTTATTAGTTATAGAATACAGTTGTGCAAGAGAAGGTTGAGGGATGATGTGATTTGTGAGATGTGTGAGGAGGGGAATGAAGATTTAAATCATATCTTGTTCAACTGCCATAGGGCCAGGATTTGTTGGAAATTGCTGGGGGTGAGTTGGAATTCTATAGATAAGGGCCAAGCCGATTTTGGGGAGTGGTGGGTGGAGGTTAGTACTGCTACCAAAGCTTGCCACATTACAGATAGAATTAGTCTGTCTACCTATCTGTTGTGGTGGCTTTGGAATACTAATAATAGCTGGGTTTTTGAAAAAAAAAAATGGCTTGGGGCTGAGAGTGTAGTTCTTAGAGCAGTGGATGAGTGGAAGTTGTTTAGGGGATGTGAGGAGAGAGAGTAGATGGGTGGCAGAGGGTATCTTGTCATAGGTAGAGGAGAGAGTACAATGCAGAGTGATGGAGTGGATGAGAGTCAGGGCAGAGAGGGTAAGAGGGTTTATCATGATAACATTAAGGTAGATGTTAGCTGCTGGTATATCAATGGCAGAATGGGCTCGTGAGGAAGAGCTTTCAAAGATGGCAGTGACCTACAATTATGGGATTCATCTAGGGACTTCAATGGAAGTTCAGTGGAGGCCTATATTGTGGGTACTAAACGGGTGCTGGAGGAAGCCAAGAAGAAGAAATGGAAGAACATATCAAGTTATGTGGATTGCCAAAAAATAGTGGATTGGGCTAAAAATTGTTCAAATGATCAAAGCCAGGTGGGAGAGGAAGCTAGAGGATTCAAACTTCTTTGTTCTTCTTTTGATAGTTGTGAATTCATTTTAATGTTGATTTGTGTAAAGATTGTAACTTATTAGCCAAAATGGCTATTTAAGGGGATTTGTAAGTGTTGTAGCAAATTATTTTTATTTTTACCGAGTACTGAATCAAAAGATTCGTTCCCCGGGTCGATCTTTCAAGGAAGACGGTTCGGATTTTAGCGTTGGTATTGATCACACACAAAAAGAAAATAAGTCTTAAACACTCTAATCATGATTGATTTGGGGAATTGACTAAACATGCTAGAACTAGAAAAACAGTTTAAAGAAATAACAATTAAATCTCTAGAGAAAAAGGAAGAAGTTCTAGGGGTCGGGAAATCTTATCATGTCTCAAACTATGTTGAACGATTATTTGTTCGGTTACGAGATTTAACAAGCTTACACGTCTAGAGGGCTATGCTCAATAACTCTTCGTAACAAGAGCACATACGTAAACGATAAACTCATTCAAACAAGCAACACATAGACAATACGTTTCTGAACAAGTCTACTCTATACGAGCCTAAATCGACCGACATCTCCCCTCTCGGTTCTAAACGTCTATTAACTAGGTTAGAATGGTGATCAATCAACTAACCCTATAATTCACACAACTCGCATAGATTGAACAAAACACATTCCACATAATTCAAACAAGAATCAAAATCCCTAACCCTAGGTGAATGGATTACCTCATGCTTAGATTCAATCTCATGTTAACTGGAATTAAGAACATAAAACCAATCACCAATAATGAAATAGAATTAAAAACTTACAATCGGATTAAGACTTTCAATCCAAATGTCTTTGTGTCCAACAATCCAAGCATGAGAAAATAAAAAGAAAAGCGGAGAAAATTTTCCTAAAAATATTGAGTTTTTAGAGAGAAAACTTGAAAGGAACGATATTGAGGGTTGTTCCTTAGGTCTGGAGGTTCGTTTTGATATATAGTGCGCGAAAAATGGAGCTAAAACGAGTAAAAACGAGCAAAAATAAAAATAGGGGTCGACAGGGTCGCGACATGCGAGTTTACTCGCGAGTCACGAGTTGGACGGGTCGCTGGGCTGCTGGAGGCTCTGTTAAAGTCGCGAGTCGCGACTTTTCTCTCGCGAGTCGCGACCAAAACTAGCGACTCACGACTCGCGAGATTTTGGGCTGCGCTGCGCCATTTTGCATTTTCGCCTCGTTTGAGCTCGTCCAAACTCGGAATTGAGTTCCGTTTTTTCCTATGCATCGCTAACAAACCTCTATATCTTGTTATGCTCTCGAAACCAACTTTTCCTGAAGAGAAAGTTCGCCAGAATCTTTCGACCTACACACCAAAAATGACAAAACACAAAAGAAAACCGGAAAAACAAACAAAAAACACGTAATGACTCAAAATGAAGGAAAACACATAATAAAACACGAAACGGACTAAAAACTAAAGAAACAACCTAAAACGGGAGAAAAAGAAAGATAAAATAAACACGAAAAACGCAACAAAAATGGGACAAACAACTCCCCCACACTTAACCTTTGTTCGTCCCGAACAAAAAGAAAAGAAAAGAAAAGAAAGGACACAAAACTAAAAACCCGAGTATGGACAACAATCATTAACAAGATAAGCTTCAAAATGTTCAACTTCAACAACAAGCATTCAAATGGCATATACGAGCACCACACAACTACATGCTTGATCACTATACTTCAACATGGCATTCTCTCAGTATGGGAATATATATGTGTGCCTCACTCGAATTCTTATACAAATAAAGATAGGTGCACTCAAATTGGTCGATAACAAGTTCAATTATATGCTTGCCCATTGTTAACTTCTACTCTAAACCAATCAAAATCGAAACTAGTGCATCAAAAGGTCTTTTCAGGTTGTAACGTAGGCTCTTTGGATAGGTAGGATAAATATAGGCTAAGTGGCTCGAATTCATTACATAACGCAAACACCTTACCCCATGAATCATACACTCAACTGGTTGCTCAAACAAACCGGATTTTCCCCCACACTTTACCTAAAACCACACGTTTCGCCCATCTTATTTCTTTTTTTTTCTTCTTTTTCTTCTTTTTTTTTTCTTTTTTTTTTGTATAATCTTTATTGGACATTTTATAATCCATTTGGCTACATTTTTTGTTCTCTTTTTTTTTAATTATTTTTTTTTGTTCTTGTTTTTTTTTTTTTTTTTTTT